TTATATCTTTGTCTATACCAAATGCAGAATCATAATCAAAAAACACATTTACTTAGGTATTTTGTTTTATACAAATGCCTATATTTATATTTAAAACATAACTAATTATATAGGTATATCAAATATGGTTAGCTGGTAGAGAATGCCATTCGGCATTAACTCGTCGAGTACCGGTTTTATAGACACAATTAAAGAACAATAGGTCGCGGTCACCGGTGACCGCTTGGTGCTTGACAGTTTAAGTCCGCCATTGTATACATTTGTTCAAAAAGTGTTAAATAAATAAAAAAATTATAATGGAATAATCAAATAAAGACACAAATTAAATAGCATAGAGTTGCATTTTGCATAACATACGAAGTTATTATTAAACTATTCGTAAAATTGCTTAGGTCACACCGAAAACTGTTTATATTGTGTTAATACCAACATTACCAACATGGTGACTACGCATGCGTGGTTCCGTGGCCGACTGTCAGCGCTCAGCTGACCACCTGTCGGTCACTGACCCCGACCTGACATGTGGCTCAGTGAAGAGTGGCTTCACATGCACACACATACATACATTTGAATATTAATACTTGAATACTTATAGGCTTGCAAGATTTATTAGTTTTTTCTAATGATGGCAATGGACGGCAGATATTGATGTACTAGCTTTTACCCGCGGCTTCGCTCGCGTCACAAAAGGATAAAAAGTAGCCTATGTGACATATACTGATACACACAGCGCCATCTATACCAATACTTTTGTTTGCCCTCAGTAATATCAATTTTCCGGGATAAAAAGTAACATACATATTATTTAATCCAAACTTCTAACTTTACGTCTGCAAAAATTCAATGCAATCGGTTTAGTAGTTACGGCGTGAAAGCGGAACAAACAAACAAACAAACTCACTTTTCAATTTATAATATTAGTAAAGAAGTAAAGATGTTCAATTTTAAAATTCATAACAGTCTACAACAGGGTTTCCCAAACTATACGCAAGCGAATTTTTAGAGGGGTTTGTCTGTAGAAAGGTGCACTCATCAACAGTTCTGTATTTGTTTTTCATATTGGTAACGGTTTAATTCCCTTAAGCTGGATCCTGGTACTTGATTTACATAGGTCGTAGGCCAGATAACTTCTGGAACCACTGGTCTACAGTTTTGGATGTTCAGTAATAAGCCATAGGGTGTCGTTGCAAAGGAGCTGTGTTAAAAGCCAAATTGAACCGCACTACCGTAATAGTCCACGGCTTTTTTTTTAAAGGGGGGAAAATCATCGAACTGCTCCCGCCTGGGTGAGGCGGGAGGAAGTGTCAGACTCTTACTGACTAAAAACCACCCCGTTCCTTCTCCTGCACGTCGAGCCGGAGCCCCGGTTATCCGTTAGGTTCTCCGCGACGATAGTCCACGGCTAAAGTTATATAGAACCTCCTCTATATATGGTCATGGCTATGACAATCTGTCTGTATGCTTCGAAGGTGATTTGAAGTTCTAAGCTAAGCTGTATGTAGTCCCTAATTCACTGAAACACCCACGACAAGAATAAGAGTGCTAACAATTAACAAATGTATTGTACTCTGTCTTTCAGTCTTCAATGGGACAATGAACATAACACAAAAACATCACGCCTTTTATCCCCGAAGGGGTAGTCTGAGGTGTACATTATGCCACTGTACAATGTAACACCCACTTTTCACTATTTATGTTATGAGTCCCATATAATAGGGAGCCTATTGCCATATACCGGGCACAATTCCAGACTGTGTTACTACTGTGAATTTTATGAAAAACCCAGTAATAATTTGCCCGACCCGGGAATCGAACCCGAGACCCCTCGTCCGGCAGTCGCACTTGCGACCACTCGGCCAATGAGGCAGTCGGGGAACGACTCAGGGACAATGAAGTCATTAAATTTAACCTAAATGACAACTTCCCAAGTACACACGCACTCGAATAATAACGTATCACTGTTGTATTAACATTCTGATACTAGTTATCATTGAACTTGTACCTAATACTTATTACATAAACTATAATAATCACAAATATATGATTAAAACATCGCCCAATTTGTGCGCTTGACCTAGCCATTATCTTTTTAGGTATCGAATTTAGAGTTCAAGTTATTCCGGTCGAAATACGATAGCTATTAATTTTATCTGTATTTTTATGTGGTGTTTTTATACGTAACAGTAAAGTGATGAGTACAGTGGACGAAATAATATATGTATAAATTAAATATTGTGGTTTGTGACCTCGAACAGCTTTTTATCGCACCTAAGTGACCTAAGGGCAGACTAATAATAAATTATTTATTTGTCAACACCAAATACTAATATTATAAAACTGACGAGTTTGTTTTTTTGTTTGTTTGTTTGAACGCGCTAATCTCCGAAACTACTGGTCAGATTTGAAAAATTCCTTCTGTGTTGGTTGTGTTGCCCATTTATTGAGGAGGGCTATAGGCTATAAAATATCACGCTACGATTAATAGGCGCCGAGCAGAGCGAGTGAAACCGCGTGAAAGTAGTTAACAATAAAGATACATCAAACATTGACACAATAAACTTGAGACTGGCGTCTGTAGTAGGTAAAACCTGTATCACGGGTCACCAGGCCAACCCTTCGTCGCAGTGCATCACTTACTAAGGCAGACTATTATTTATTTCTGTATTTGTTGACGTTTTAAAAGTACCAAATTTTGGTTCAATTGCTTTGACTTTGTATTGATAAATTGTAATACAATGCCTTTTATTTACCCAATATGAACAAGGAGGTACCTACTAACCATTTCTTACATTCATGGGTCCGATAGTTTCATTTTCAGAACCCTTCATACTAATATGAAGTTTTGAATCGTGGTCTACATGTGACAGGTTCACCTTTTACATTAAGTTCCTTTTAGGTACCATGCACTTCTGTCTTTACAGTTTACGCTGAAATACATACTCAAACGTCATGCAATTTAAGTCGCGCTTAAATATAGTTCTGTCATCCAATTAGATACTTTGATAACTAGTCAAATTCAATACTTTTTTCAAACTGTCAAAAACTACATATTATAATTCTATGAATTTTGTACGAGTAGGTACACTAAATACACTATAATTGTGACGTCGCGTTTTTTTAGCGTAAAACAGCATATTTATTTCTTAAAAAATTGCTGTAAAAATACTTACATTAAGTTGGTAATAAAATCAATTAACTTTTTGTAATATTTTATTGTATTGAACAGTCGAAATAATTTATTTTTGATTAAGGCAAATAAAATAACCAATTCTTTTTAAAATGATAGAGATGGCACGATATTAGCTTAAACTGTGTAGTCTTTCAGTATTAGGGCGTCAGCTCGTCAAAATAAATAGGGCATAAATCGCAGCCGACGAGTTAAAAGATTGATCTTAAATTATTTTTAATTGGAACAAATGGATCGCAGCAACCGCTAACTGTTCAATTACAGAACGCTATTAACTGTAACAATTTCGTATTTTCAGCTGATTTGTTAAACTCTATCTAGTTTCTTGATTATTGTCTAGTAACAACATAACATCAGTCTAACTTTATCCTCGAAGACGTAGGCGGAGGTGTACATTATGCCACTGTAGAATATAACACCCACTTTTCACTATTTACTATGTTATGAGTCCCATGTAATAGGGTGTGAGCCTACAGCCATATTCCGGGCACAATTCCAGACTCCGTGCTATCACTGAGCATTTTTTAAAAACCCAGTAATAGTTTGCCCGAACCCGGCATCAAATCCGAGACCCCTAGCCCGGCAGTCGCACTTGCGACCACTCGGCCAACGAGGCAGTCAGCTATCAACAATTCCTTGCTGTTTTTTATTGCGAAATAATGCAGTAGGAAGCTTCCTATAATAACATCTCCGTAAGTAATATTTAATACAGTGTTGTGCTTAGAATAACAGATTGTATCAAAATAGTTACATCATCAATGAGGCAACGAGAGAAAGTTCCATTGTAGTGCAACAGACTATTATATAGCTTACCATATGCATTATATATCACGCCTCTTTTTCTACTATGTTATAAGCATGTCTATATGTAAATTTGTTGTACCTACTCACCTAATTTTCATTTAGTCATATTTTACATGACTATAATATTATACTATTTACTATTATGTAGTAAATATGTATAGCATAGTATATTATTTAATAGGTAATTACCATATTGTTTCTTTTTGCTGTTAGATTTTTCTCCGTAACTTATTTTACGCAGATTGTCTATTTAAACCCTAAGGTTGACTGGTAGAGAATGCCATTATGGCATTAAGTTCGCCTTATGTGCCATAATCAAACTGTGTACATTAACGACTAAATAAATAAATAAATAAATAATAAAATTTTAGATTCTTATTGTAATTTTTGACAGTGAATTGTAGATTAGGTTAGATAGGGCACAATTCCAAACATAGGTACATACATAACCACACGCCTGTCTCCCACTGGGGTAGGCAGAGACTATAGAACGCCAATTGCTACAATTCCAAACCCCTCTGCAACTACTAAAATCTATTACTAACCTACCTATAACGAGAAATGGAAAATATTCCAATAATACTTCGCCCGACGCGGACTTAACCCGAAACCCCCTTATCGTCACACGTGCGACCAAGCGACCAACGAGAACTAACCCACAATTCATTAACTACTAGCTTTTACCCGCGGCTTCGCTCGCGTCACAAAAGAATAAAAGCCTATGTGACATATACCAACACACACAGCGCCATCTATACCAATACTTTTGTTTTCCCTCAGAAATATCAAATTTTCGGGATAAAAAGTACCCTATTATTTAATCCGGACTTCTAACTTTACGTTTGCAAAAATTCAAAGCAATCGGTTTAGTAGTTACGGCGTGAAAGCGGAACAAACAAACAAACTCACTTTCCGATTTATAATATTAGTAAGGATAGTAAGGATAAGGATACCAAAATGAAACTGCATTTATTTAAAACAATAGCGATAGATTGTCTATTCTCTATGTATGACGTACTCACTAGGTATGATAACTTATGTTCTACAACGGTTCTACCATTTAACTTGAGCGGAATGGAATTGGAGCATGAAAATACTCAGCATTCCTATTTAAAAGTACCTAACTAACTTTACAATGATGATTCTACCATAACATTGTATTGTTTAGATTTTGTAATCTTTAATTTTTACTGTTGTTTTATTTTTTTCCGCCTATAAAATGGAAAAAGTTACAATTTTTTCTTTATCACAGTACCTATTCACACAATTTGCATATTTTTGTAGTCGGTAAATAGCTATAATAGTTATTGTTATCCTCCAATGGAAAATTAAAAATCAAATATGTAGGTTCAATATAATTATCTGGCCAATACATGTTATAATAATTATAATCGGCGAACAAACAAAAAAAACTATCAGCCGAACATAGTATCTCCTCCTTTTTTTGAAGTCGGTAAAAATTAATTACCGCCCGCAGTTAATAGTATCAACTTATTGAAATCGACTTACAGCGCCACCTAGTATTCAGTAGAATAAACTAAGCCAATCATAGAATTTTATTTATAAAGTAATATCATAATAATCGTCAATAATTTTACTTAATTCATTTATCTCAATCTTATTTATTTATATTTTTTTTTATTTGCAGGTGACAATGGCAGCACTCACGCTTTATACCTCGAAACCATAGTCGAGGAAACGAGTGATGATTTGCGCTCTGAACGTTCCTCTGCCGCAACATGGCTCTCAGATTCAGATGCAGATTCTGTCATTCATGTGCGAGGGACTCAAGGTAATTATAGCCAATTAATATTTTTAAAAGTACGGATATCGAAAAAGTCAAAGTCAAGACAATAATAGTCACCTGAGTATAAACTTACTTGCTTAAAACGCCATCTATCGTGTAATAGAAGTACTGTGGTCTACTGGTAGGAGGTACGACATAAATAGTTTTAAATACCGAACATAGATGGCGCTAAACTAAAACTTAAGCATTAAGGTAATAGTACATTAGATACTCGCTTTGTCAACATAAACGTTAGACTCGAGTCCTTCATTGTGTCTAGACCGGCTTTGGCAAGTACATTGAATGTTATCCTACATATCTCTTGGAACCAGTCCAACTAGTAAAAAGAATACAGATTTCAATACGATGTCATTGTCATTGTCGCCGTCCGGACGTGGCGACGTGCCGCGTTTCAGTAAATCTTCAGTGTGACGTGTTCAGTTCCTGACGGTGTTCTCTTCCAGCAGGGTCGGAGTGCGACAGCGAGTCGGAGCGCGAGTGGGCGTGCCCGGCGAAGCGCAGGCGGCGCGAGCGCGCCACCTCGCCCGCCAGCTCGGGCTCGCTATCACGTTCCTCCAGCCTCGCGCAGTTCGAATCCCTGGAGAGATCGTGTGCAGCACCCGCCTCACCGAGCCTCTCGCCCGACTCCCTGGAGTCACCTCCGCCTTCCCCACCGCCAACACGTGTTCCAGCACCACGCACCCATCTGTCTGCCGAGAACCTCAGCGAAGACAGCGGCTACAGTGAGCGGTCGCGGCGGCCGCCCCCGCCTGCAGTGTGCCGCCCGCCCGAAATAGCGCACCGCTCGGCCGCCGGCAGCGCGCCCTGCCTCGTCGCATCGCCCAGTGCTGAGCGCCGCCCGCCCCGCGCCGCGCGCGCTCTCTCGCTCCCCGCCGAGCTCGACGTGTGCGCCGAACCGCGACGTCACGCTGCGCATCGAGCGCGCTTTAGACAAACCTTTGAAGTATCTGACAGCCTGACCGTCAGCGTGGCAGACCTCACCGCCCTCGACTACAGGGGCGGCCCCCGTCGCCCGCGACTGCCGCCCCCACCGCCACCTCCTCGGATGAACCGAAATGTACCACCTCAACCACCTCCAGTCGAAAAGGTTGTTCGACAACCTACCGAATCCCCGGCGCGGGAACCCAGCGCCAGTAGTGATTCTACCACCGAATCAGAGCGAGCTTTCGCGAGAGAAATGGAGGCGACAGCGCGCCGGCTGGACGAGACAGCGCGGCGAGCGCTCGCTGAAAGCGAAAACTACGACCGCGAGCTATCAGTGATGACAGCGAGACGACTACACGACTCGTGGGGCGCCTGGGATGACGTGTTAGATGAACTTCGACGGCGCATAGACGGGCCGTCACCCTCCCCCTCCCCACCACGAACGCCATCCCCAGACCCTATCAGAGAACCAGCGTTCACGTCAACGCCACTAAGATCCTGTGATGCTAGAGTAAGATCAACCCCTGAGCTGCGCTCGCGAGCAACCCCACAACGAGAAACGCCAGAAGAACTTCGTGCGTCACTACAATTAGTAGCGCCACCCCCTCCAGACGCAGCGCCGCCCGTGCGCTCTGTGTCTGCTGGCTCCAAAGGAGTGACGTTCTCGCCAGTAGTGGCAGAAGTAAGCTGGCGCGAAACAAGTACAAGCACCACTGAGAGCGAAACAACAGCGAGCGACGACGCGGACGACGCCGAGGTGGTAGTAGTGGAGGGGGAAGGCGAGGAGTCGCACGCGCCGACCGCAGAGCGCGCTGCCGCCATGACGGAAGCGGGCGCGCGCGCGCCGCGCAGCCGCATCGCCGGCTTCCTTTCGCGATTCGCAAACTTTAGATTCTCGGGGCGCAAAGAGAAAAAGACACGGGGCGCAGGCGCGAATATACGACCCTCTACGAACGGTCCGGCAACAGCGGCAGATGCGGGGCAGGGACCGCGCGGGCCGGCCGCCGGGCCGCAGTATGTGCGTATCCCGCTGAAGGAGGAGGGTGTGTCGCGGGCGGCGGCACCCCCGGTGGCGGGCGGCGTGGCGCACAAGCCACCACGGCCGCGCCCGCCGCCCGCGCCGCCGGCCGGCGTGCTGGAGACCGATGTGGACACTCAGCGTACCGTGCTACACGCGCGCTCGCTGCTCGCGCTCGCGCCTCCCGACCAGCGCACTCCTCGCCCTCACAAGTCCATGGAGTTCCTGCTCGACAAGGACAACGTGCAGACTGTACAGGTGAGTCCCTTACACTCGATACCCCGCAAGTTGCCTTGTGTGTCTCGAACTGCAATGTTTACAAACAGCGCGATCGATGCCGGGCGACGACCGGCGACGCCGCCCCACCGGCGTCACACCCATGACATCGTAATACATTGCCAACTATTTAACACAAAACTGCTAAGTAAACGTGAGACAGTGACAGCGAAAGCGTAGATAGTGTCACGTCCACTAGCCATGTCAGTACGTGCTGCTGAAACCACAGCGATGTAGGCCGCGGCGAGCTTAGAAACCGTCCTTAGACGTGCATTCAACGTCGCTCACAAAAAGGCCGGAGTACTCGTCTAAGCGAGTTAATAAGTACAATGCATCAGGTCCGTTAACTGCGTAATAAATTACCAGCGGCCGCTATCCCCAGAGGGGCATTACGACACTATGCGGGTCGTATCACACGCGATACATTTGAACAGGGCGGAGGTGAAAGTGCACACATCTGCACGCTGTCGCCTGGCATTAATTGCGCACTCCGTATCCGCCGCAATAACAGCGGTGGGCGTGCTTACATGTAACTCTATCAAACTGTATCACCCGCTGCTGACGCCGAGTATCCGCAGCACGGCGTTCACTAATCGATTTTCGTCCGTCAATAACTTCTCGTCGACATGTTTCCTTCCGCAATCCATCACGCTTTCCGTCGAGATAATGACTCAAAGTAGATATATAAAGCTTCCGAGCTTAGCCGTCCCAGATAAGATAACAATAGGAACAAAGGGAGCGAGTAACAGCGACTCCTGGGCGCTTACTCTTGAAACCAATCTCAATGTCAATGCAATTTCAATCCAATATGATCTCAATAATTATTAAATGTCAACACTATACAACCACAATCTTAGCTGTTACAATAGCATTCAGAGTACGGAATATAAAGACAAACTCAATACCATTTAGTTCATTCAATATCTACGCAATACGGATGCAATGGGCTCTAGTATTGCAACTCAAGAGTACGAAATTTCACAATACCAATGTCGATCGATCGGAATTGGATTCAAGAGTAAGCCCCCTGGAATTAGTTTAAGTAGCGCCTCGTCGCAAGCCGAACTCAAAGGGTAGAGTTCGTTGCGTAACCAGCTATTCAAACAACGATCGAAGATCACAAAAATTGACGTTCAATTCATGTTTTATAATACAACTCCCTATTTAGTACATGGCAAGTAAAATACGGTATCAGCTATCACTACGCATTAAATTACTCTTACTCAAGCGTTTTATGCGGCTTCCGAAGTATGTAGTCCTTAATAGCTTGTAATAAGAAACTTGAGCCTATTGTAGTGTTGTCGCAGCCGGCATTACTATTTGCGTCTTCCTATTCTTTGAATCGTATCGTGACTACCGCATCAAAGAATACAAAATTCAACAAAAACAATTCCACATGCTTCTCACGGCAATCAACGGTAATTTGGTGGCACTTAATACACGCATGACATAAGCTCGTCACGAGTTTAACATATCTGAAAGAGGTGACACGGTGTCTCTAGTTGGAAAACGAGGGCTGTGAATGCACCGTTGCATTTTGTTATCTATTCAGTAACGGGTCCTGGTACACTTAGGTAATTTCTGCCCATGACACACTAATCGCGTTGTGTATGATGTCAGTGTTTGTCGTCGTGAATAATTCCTCTTGATTATTACACTTTATTTCCTTAAGGTTATACAAATGCCTCTAGAGACGTGAGGTTCGTATTATGTCTCATTCTTGTTTATGCTATTAATTCAAGAGCCGTTCGGTTCTCGATGTTATAAGCAGGTGAGGTGTAACTCGCATCTAACGACGCAATTTTATTGATGATGAAGAATTCCTATCTGATGTGTCATGTTTTGTTCAAATCAGGTTAAATGTATGAAATATTTACAATACAAATACTTATGTCAAACGATTTGATAATTGCCACGCAAATGAAAAGAAACAAGAATTACACAATCTGTAAAAAATGCTACTCCAATTATGTCTGAATAAATCACACGGCCAAAAACGAAAGTTGCCATTGTTTCAGACACAAAACACCATAATGGCGATAATGCGCTAGGGCCATTGACATTGTTGGCCATTCATGAGAATTTCAAACAAATTTCTATTAGCCTTGTCCGACTTGACCAAACTCGACCTCGCAGCGTCGAGATGAATAGCAGTGTCAATATGTATTTGTGTTAAAATAATAAGCTGCTGTTAGACCTCCAAATTAATAAAAGGTTATCTACGTTTTTTGCGAATTGTACTCACTGTTTTTATCATAGCTTACTTAAGCTCAGCTCAACAGCTGACAGGTGACAAGGGTCTGAGTTTGCGACACCGAGTTAGACAGATTAATTAGGTTTGCCTTTCTAGAAATAACCTACAATCAAGAATTTAACCACAATTTTCACATAAAACGAATGTTGATATTCGTCGATTTTTTGTAGATACCGTAATAATACAATGCACATCTGCAACACGTGGTAAAAGAAATACCACAAAGAGATATCCCTTACAAAATTCAACAAAAGAGTGTCCCGTAATGTTTCTCCAAGTAAGGGCGCAAATATTCTTAGAATGCACTCGACTGATTTATTTGAAAGCCGTGTCAACATGCTGTATAGAACAGGACGATGCATTACAACCGGTTAGATCACATCAACATTTGCTTCGACCTTGCCGTTGCACGAGTCGTGAGATTTTTACCAGATAAATATCAGCTGTTGCAATCATTGCCTCCGCTATGTTTAGAAACAATAGGTTACCTACATTACGTGGTTATTAGGTAACATTTCGATTCGAGATTAGCGCACTGATTGCTGGTTACCGATTGTGAATTAATAGATATTAAGTATTCTGTTGTATCGATTGTGAACATCTGTTTTGTTAAATGGGTTCATTTTATAAATGTTACGGTGTGATTCGGGTCTTTTCGTCTCTACTACATATTAATAAAACTGGAGAGATAGCTGATACTAACATTCTTGAGCAAAGGCTTTACGGATCAAAGTCTCTTGCAAAATACTTGCACATACACTTCAAAAAACTGCGATCATTTACTTCTAAACACATAAATTACACACTGCAGAAACTGTAAAGTCCACAGCCATCGAAAAAGACATCTAACAAAAAATGGCTCGACCCGTCAGAGGCTCAGAGGTCAACGAAGTCGTCATTCCACACAGAACACTGCATGATTATGTATGTATGTTAGTCATACAAATGAACGGAATACTAACGTTCGGCCGCGGTATCGTGCGTGAAGCTATGAGAACACCCAGCTGGATAGCTAATTAAAGACTTCGTACTTTGTGAACCACTTGGTTAGCGAAAGTATTGTAAGTGCGCGTGGGGGGCCGAAAATGCCACGTTATGCCCCTACTGGTTTAGTTTTGGTTGAATATAGATTTTGGTTATTAAATTACACTTTAATATTGGTTGCAGATAATTAAAATAGGTTGCTTGGGCACGCTTAAAATTTAACTTAAAGTTATGTGAAATACATATACTATCCTTATCATTATCCTCCATAAAATTACCTCGGATAACACGCCACCAGATAATCTATTCCAGTTTAATTCGTTGGATTTACATCCATGTTTACCCCTCGAATCTAATAAACACCCTTAAGTTAGAAGACTACCAACTACAGACAATGCTTATGGCGAAAAGATCCGATAAAACTTAATCTGACTTGAATGAAATTACCGACGTAATTCCCAATAAAGACAAATCAATCAGCTAGCAATATAAATGAATCAATTTCCCATAGGCAAGTGAAACAAAAAGTTTGTTTAGTATAACTGTAATAAAGTAAAGTACAAAATATCGGTAAAACAATGGCGGTTTGCTCGTAAAAAGGCTGTAAACCTCAATACTCAATAGATTCATGGCCCACAATAGGAACCTGTTACACTTGAGGTGTTGCCCTATACAAGTTATTAAAATAACGAAATTTATGAATAAGCATTGTTTCGTGTATTATCAATTTGCTTCTCTGATCATTTTCCGTCTGCGACTCTCTCGCCCGAATTTAAAACAGTTTTTCTGATTTCGATCCTTAAAATATAATATTAGGATAAAAATAGCTTATGTTACTGTCTGAAAAGTAAGATTTATTAATGGTGAAAGAGTTGTTAAACTCCGTTAAATAATTTCGAAGCCTATTCAATGCAAATAAGATCAATCATAATAATATTATCTTCTAAACGACGCCCGCTTCTCATGCACGAGGGTACGGTTCGAAACCTACCGACGGCAAAGTACGAAAGTGACTTATTCCGAATTATATGTACTTATGTATGTAGTTTTTAATGTTATTTAGACACCACTGACAAACGTTGAAGGCGAACATCGTGAGGAAAGGTAATTTCTAATTATAAGTTTGAAATCACCAACCCGCATTGAGTAAGCGAGGTGAATGCTCAAACCTTTTCCGTGTGAGAAGAGACCTTTGGTCAGCAAAAGCCACTATAGGCTGTTGATGGCCTTGATGGTGATGATGAGGAATATTAGCGTTGACAAAATAACAAATAGAATCAAACACATGTTCGCTGAATAAATAATAACTATAGAAATATCATATTTGTGTGATGTTCGGCTTATGAGCACGTGGTATGCAAGTTTCCATGTATTGATTTGACCCAGTTTTTCGGAATATCCACCACATGCGAGAACAGAGATTGATTGTTTGCTAGGAACGAGATTGAGATGAAAAATCGAAAATATCATGTTCTGTTTTTGTTAGCCATTGCAAAAATATACTCAGCTAGTTTGAATGTTTATTTTTTGTAAAAATTTGACTGACTAGGTACCTAGCTTGAATGATTACTTTTTAAATTTATGGTTTTCAAATCGGGCACTAGAATAGATCGTCATATTTTTCATTTTCGTAAATTTATTTTGGAAAAGTGACTGCCGAACGTGAAATGTTTGATTCGGTAATTTCTATCCCAGTTCCGAAAAACATAATTAAATCAATTTCAGTTATTGTATGTGATTTTTCGATTATTATTAAAATTTGTAATTTGACAAAATAAATAATTTACTTCTTTTAAAACGCGACTGTGTATTAACATAATGAGAAAAGTGAGTTATCTACCACCCATCATGAGTTTTCATGGAAAAAGAGGTACAATTTTATATTCATGTTAATATTTATGTTCTCGTGTGAATGTTTGTTGATGTCATTGTAATGTCATAGCTTTTATGCAACTATGGTGATAGACCACTTTCTTTTCACACGTGCTGTTTGTCTGCAATGTTGACTGACACGTGTTCTTTTAATCGACAACGCAATGACTTTCTTTTGTTGCTAAATAAATAACAGCCTATTTAGACCTTACCATTAGTTTATTACACATAGGTAAGTTCTCATAATAGTAGGTATTCATTTGCTCGTACTCCCCAAAAGAATAGCCAATACAGAACAGTTTTCGAATTGATTAAAAACTGTTCCAATTTCAAAATCTTCCAACACAAACCTACAAACCTAATTCCAACTTTCAATGTTGCTCCATAAATCACATTTTACGTAACATATTCGTGGCAAATATAGATGTCCGAGCGTTGTACGGATATCCGTCTACCTGCCCGGACGGTGGCGGTTAAATTGAATTCCCTGTATCCGTCCTGCACTAGCTTGCACAGATTATATACATATGTAGGTTCAAAATATCATAGCAAGGAGGAAATATTATTTACTCTATGGTTTTATTGAAACGAATTTGGTCGGAAATCGGAGTTCATTGGACTTGTTTGGAGGGAAACGTTGTTTGGAGGGATACACTATTTGAATGGGCGAATAGCAAATATACTGCCTAAAGTTATTCATGTCGGGTTTGTTAGATTATATCATATACATTTATACTTTAGTTTCATTCTTAAATAAATAAGATGCCGTATTGCGACAAACCTAACATAAAATATTTCTTCGAATTACAGTTGATATACTTTTATTTAGGTACTTACGTACTCACACGATTTAGTATTATACAATGCACACGTTGTTCATACATTCATCATCATAATAATAAAAACAAGAGCAGTCGACCACATGTTCGGATGACATTACAATCGGGACTCTGACTCACTACGCACTGGCCACATCATCCCGAATGGCATAAACGTCAAATTAGTCACCCCATTTTTAAAAAACTACTGTTTATGGTATTCATTGTAATTACTGGCTATCAATTTATTATTTCCCTATATGTATTCACCATAAAGTTTTGTTACGTCAACTTTGTATGACTGACAAGGGAATAATGTATGAGTGCATTGCATAAATAGGCACGGAGCCTCGGATAGCTGTAGCATCATTGTTATTTGTGGTGAAAATATCCATTTAAGGGCATTTATAATGACATGAAAAACATATTTTGCTCGTCATTTCGTTGGTTGATGACCATTCTTAGGTTAAACCGACTTAAGAACAATAACCAGGAAAAAAGTACGAAGCAAAGGTCACGTCCCACTCACCAATTTCTAGCAGTTTAACCGGATTATATTAAAAATTCAACCGTACAAATCCGACAAAACGCGTCCCCAGTTAATGGGTACCTCTGACCTGACCTTTATCTTAATTTAAAACGTTGAAACAAAAACACAACGGGGTTTAATTAAAAAACAATCCAATTATGGCGTCCATTAGATAATATTTAATGAAAATGGACACAATAGCAGTGAATGCGGCCTGGTAGCCGGTAGAGCGCTTATCCGGG